TCGGAACAGTGTGGTAACACTTCCTCCAAGCAGCGGTCATGGTCTACTTTTCCAAGTTAAGAATACAACACAGTCTGTGTGAGAGAATGTAGGACAAACGAAGAAAGCAACAGAGCCTGTAGAGAAGTTAACGGCCAGTAACTATTCTCCCCATTTGGTTTTGTGTGGAGACAGTAAACTGTTGGGAACTGAAGGCAGGAGCATGTACATCAGTGTAACAGAGGAAATGAGAAACATGTACATGTAAGTGTGGACAGACAGTAAAATAACACATGCTGGCATTGTTCCACAGGATACTGCTCGTTTGTGTGCTTGCACTGCGTGTGTGTCTGCCAGAGCTATAACCCCACCATCACGGCCACCATATTTATTGACGGTGTATTTTCTGAAGCTGGGTATTTACTTAGCGCGGACAGAGTTCGTTCCAGTGCTCTGCTGCTGATTAACACCTGATGTGGCTCAGATGGTTCTTTCACATGACTGCAAAGCAGTGGGGGACAAAGGAAAGTGAAGGTTCTCTGCTTGAAATAATGGTTGAAGAAAACCATAAAAATATTTCTAAGGGTTCTAATCGCACGCAGTTCTTCCTGAACGACAGGAAGGTGATGGCAGCTAACAGAATGTGAATCCTGCTGTAAACTCAACATAAATCCTTTTCTGCTACTTCAGTATGTGTCTCAAACAGCTCTCTAACTCACAGATAGACTTTCTAAATACAAAGTGTCTCCCTGGACGGGTCTTAAATAGAAGCGTTTAAACCTCTGCTAGAGAATAAAATCCTGTTGAATAGCAGCAGCCATTTTGATATAATAGTAAGGTAAACACGGGTGTTACTAACTAATTAAGGTTCTGTGCACAAAAGCAGCTGTTTGCCCTACTGTTGCTCTAAGTAAAAATGGCTGCTGTGAAAAAGATCTATGGGGCTTAAGAGTTTATAGCCATGCTAGCAGCTCTAAGAAGATATACGGTAATACTCATTGTAAAGGAAACAAATTATAAGATTGTTCAAATTTCAGGTTGAAAGTAAAGTTATTGTAAAAATGGTGAAGTAAATGTAAAAAATGGTAGTGGTTACTTAGTAGTTGCTAACATGTTCCAATAAGACAATGCTCACATACTGATGTTTAGCATATTGTTCACCATACTCAGCAGCTTGGTTTAGTGTGTTAGCATGGTAATCGCTTCTAATAAGCACTGGGCTAATGTGACTAGATGCCCCAGTAAGTCCGGGACTGTCCAGGTTCCAAGTTGGGTGTCCCAAGTCCCAGCAAATATCTGTAAAACACTAAAATGTCCCGGTTTCACCACAATTAAAACAAACATTTCCACTTACATAGATGTTTTTCATGTTCTGTCCCTTGTTTCCTTAAGAGCTACAGGAGGCTTACTCACTTACTTACTACTGCATTCATCCTGATGAAAACGCCTATGGGTTTTGTAACTTGTGGTACACTTTAAGGACCAGTGTGTAAGATTTGTTGGCATCTAGCGGTGAGATTGCAAACTGCAATTAACTGAAACCCCTTAATATGTTAAGCTTTAGGAAATACACTGCATTGTAATGTTAAATGCTAAACTAAAGAACTAATAGAAAACCTCTGTAGAACCATACAGATTATTTGTGCAGCAATGGTGCCATATTTAGCAAGCGGAAAGGAGAAATGACAATGATCAAGAACAGTGGAAAAAATCCTGAATGCCTCTTATATTCCATCTCTGCCGATAGAGCCTCATACATGTTCCATGCTTGGACCAATTCTATTCACTTTATATATGCTTCCCTTAGGCAGCATTATTAGGAATCATTCCATTAACTGTCATTGTTATGCAGATGGTAAATGGTAAATGGACCTGTACTTGTATAGCGCTTTTCTGGTTTTTGGACCACTCAAAGGTTTTCGCTTTTACACTACATGCCACATTTCCCCGTTCACACACATTCACTCAGTGATGGAAAAGTCCATCAAACAGAAACAAAATCATTCATATACATTCACACACCGATGCACAGCATCGGGAGCAATGCAGGGTTCAGTATTTTGCTCATTCATACTTCGACACGTGGCAGGAGGAGCCAGGGATCGAACCAACGACCTCCCGATTAGTGGACGACCTGTTCTGCCTCTCTCTGAGCCACCAGATGATACCCAGTTATATCTATCAATCAGACCGATGAAATTAATCAGTTATCTAAATATCAAGCATGTCTTAAGGACATAAAAACCTGGATGAGCTGCAATTTTCTGATGTTAAACAAGTTCTTGTACTTGGCCCCAAAACACTTCCGAAAGATATAGTTACTCTAGATGGTATAACCTTGGCATCTTTGATGAGGTTATGTCCTTTAACTCCCACATAAAGCAAACCTCTTATACTGTCTTTTTTAAATTTACATAACATTACAAAAATTAGACACATCCTGTAACAGACGGATGCAGAAAAACTAATCCATGCATTTGTTACTTCTAGGCTGGATTACTGCAACTCCTTATTACCAGGTTGCCTCAATAAGTCCATTCAAACGCTCCAATTAATTCAGAACGCTGCAGCACGAGTACTGACAGGAACTAGAAAAAGAGATCACATCTCTCCTGTACTGGCTTCTCTGCATTGGCTCCCTGTAAAATTTAGAATAGAATTTAAAATCCTGGAACCAGCTTCCAGTTGTGGTTCGGGAGGCAGACACCCTCTCCACATTTAAGAGTAGGCTTAAGACATTCCTCTTTGATAAAGCTAAGCCAAGTGCTTGCTCTGCTCTTGCTTGGGTCTCTGTAAATAATTTTATAAGGAGTACGGTCTAGACCTGCTCTATTTGAAAAGTGTCCTGAAATTCTGTTATGAATTTGCGCTATACAAATAAAATTGAAATGAATTGAATTGAATGTTACACACTCGACCTTTAAGGGTCCTGTTTTGGGGGTTTGAAAATATAGTCACTATAAGTTGAGGGCTGCCGGGATTAGTTTTGCAGTTATTTGGTCATAAACCAAAGTTTTGGACAAAAAACAAATTCATCTATTAGTTGTTGAGACATTTTAAAGGATAAGTGAACAAATTGAGATCACCAGTGTCACAGAGTCTTTTAGATGCATCTTTTGGGGATAATGAATGTCTACACAAAGAGTTCTTGGCAATCCATCTAGCAGTTGCCAAGACTCAGTTGAGGCAGAAGGTCGCCACTGAGAGCCGTGGTCTGCTCGAGGAACTTTTTCTGTCGCCAAGTGCTTGCTCATGGTGGGAACTGTTGGGTCTCTGTAAATCATTTTATAAGGAGTATGGTCTAGACCCGCTCTATTTGAAAAGTGTCCTGAGATAACTTTTGTTATCTCAGGACACTCAGGACAGTGGTTTGATGGACCAACTGAATAAAATTGCCATCTCTTGAGCCACACATTATGTTAGTTAGAAACGTCTAGAATGTTCTCACGTTCTCTTATGAACCAAAAGTAATATGCCATTATGGAACAGTCCTATGTCATCCTCTACCAGCCCTAGACAGACCAGTACTGGTCATGTATTATTTTCGAAAGCAGTGTGGATCAAAACTGCTACAAACTCAGTTTATGGAGTCAGCCCCCTTCCCTGTCTGACCACACACCCATGTTAACATAGAATCTCCTCACACTGTTTTAAAGGAACATCATTTCATGAAGCCACTCCACTCTCTGACAGAAACAATGTATACAGAGCCTGCAGCGTTCCACACTCCAACACATGAACTCTGTTTGGGTTGAGGGACTTTCTAGGCCAGTCTGCGAGAAGGAATAACAGCATTTTTACTGGAGGTGTGGTTAATTCTCACTGTCTGCTCTGTTCCAAATAACTGCTTTTACAGGTGATTAAACCTGCACCTGCCCTCTAACCAGTGTTTATTGCTGCTGTGAAGTGTTACTCTGGTAACCAAACCTCATTAATCTGGCTCTCATTAATGTGGAAACAGTTGGTGACAGACACAGGGCAGTTTATTGAGGTCTACTGATGAGTCAACATGATATTGTGGGAACACTTTCTGCATTTCTACAGCCCAGAGCTCAGGAAAGATACTAAATGGATTTTTTTAGTAAGACTGGATTGTCTTATGAGCGTGACTGTAGTGTCACATTTGCACTGGATAAAACTGTAACCCGTTCGGTAGGGCTGAGCAAGTATCCGGTTCAGATAATGTACTGTAAGTATGAGTATAATCATACAAAGTAAAATATGTCAATATCCGTATTTGTACTGCAACTCTCTGGACTGGAGGAGGGCAGAATTTGTTTGTACCCGGTAAAACCAAGATGAATTACAATCCCGTTTGTGATTCGACCAACAAAAAATTTGTAATTTTACCTGGACATGAGAAACTTGAAATGAGGCCCAATGGGGTAAACAATCTAATATATTGGGACATATTGTTTTTTAGAGATTTGACCAAAAGAATTATAATTTATACTTTAAATTAGTTTCTTGAAAAACTGTATCAGTGCTCTGATACAGTTTATTTGCCTCACAGATAACATTTCTATATGGATATTTACAGTTACTTATCAGTTTAGCCAGTATTTTAGCCGGGCCTATTTATCGGTTGTCACTTTTAACTCCAAATTGAAACTGCTACTTAAATGTGGAAACCTATTGCACATAACAAAACATCACTCTAATGCCCCGTTGACATATCAGCGACGAAAAGATATTCATACACCAAACTGTAAACCATAATGTGAAGCATTTTGGTTTAGAAATGGAAAAAATAAATAGTGAGTGTTAGTGAATAATGTTTATATATAGTATTTGACCATATAATTTTAATGTAATCGTAGAAAGAATTCTACGACGTATTGCTGTACAGTTCTGGAAACCACAGCTGCCAGTTTTTTACAGTAAAAATAACTTAAACATTTTTTTTTTTAAAGGACTGGTAAAGGCAATAGAGTCCTATAAAACTTATTCCGGCCCTGTCAAGTGCTTCCTATTATTGTCTGGTTTACCAAATAATGAAGCCATCATTGCGTAAATCGTACCTATGCTGGTCTCACACGGTCCTTTCTGGATCTGGGTGATGCCCGGCAGTCCCTGCTGCAGAGCCTTCCTGCTGGTCGCCTTCAGCTGGCACACGTTGCCGTACGTCTTCCCGTCGCTGCCGCACACTTCCTGGCTGAACTTGCACTGACAGAGGCCCTTGGAGAGCCGTTTGCCCGCCGGATGTTTGCATTCCAGTCCGTCCCCGCACGGTAGGTCGTCCTTGCGGCCGCACGGTTCTCCCTCTCCCTGGGCGCATACCAGGCAACAGTTGCAGCGGTCCGGCACGTAGCCGCTGGGGCAGCTGGGGCTCGGGCAGGTACTCACATCGCACCGCGTTGGACACTTGGCTTTCGGCTCTGCGCCGGCAGACTCCTTGAGGTAAAGGAGCACAGCTGCGTACAGGAGGATTTGCATTTTCAATGGAGGATTTTGAGCGGAGAGAAACTAAGAAAAGTGAGGAGAAGTTTACGCGGAGATCATATTCCAGCGCATCACTTTCGGGAGGCTTTACAGATGGGAATTCACTTACACGGAAGACAGAATGATAGATGTCCCGTTAATGTTGCAAAATACATCGATTAAAGCGATCCTGATACCGGAACTTGGACGGTGCAGCTGTAGCCGTGCGTAATTGCGCGTCCAGCGACAACAAAGCACCAGAGGACTGAGACTGGATGTGATGTTTTCTGCCTTGCCTTTGCCCAGGCTGAGTGAACATACACTCAGTTGCAGGGTGAGTGCCTCTTGCAGTGAAGCTGGTCAGAGAGAGAGGGAGAAGATGTGGAGAGCAGCTGCGCTCCTGGAGGCGTGGCGACGGAGCTCAGATGTTGGCAACATCCGTGTGGCCGCGTATGACCTCAGAATTCGATTTTAAAGTCACATTCTGCCTTATTTCTGGTGGGTCTGGTAGGGACAGTCAGAGGGGGCGCAGAGGGGGCGCACTGGGGTCAAGAGTGCACCAAATTCCTAATTAGGATTTATTATATTTCATGCATTCCATTAACTGTAAATGTTCCCAAGATTACTAAATGGTGTTTAAAAGCACCAACTCATAAAAGGGATCAAGATGTTTTGGCTTCACTTTTGGGGAGCTGTAATATCAACATCTTTATTTATGTTGATGTTCTATACACAACGGCCATTAAATTAACTGCAGTTAGCGTCCTGCTGCCAGCTCCTAATAACATACAAGAATCCACCGGACCTGGACAAACGCAACCAATCAGAGAAAGTTAAAAAATGAAGCTTTGCCTTGGAGGCTTGAATATTGTTGATTGTTGAGTCTCATTCCCAGGGTCCCAAAGTGTCTATTCGAAGGCCCCTAATTGTGAAACATAACTTCTGCCACATACAGTCACATACAGTGATACAGATTGTATCAAGAAATAGTTCCAACAAACTGCAAATCTTCACTTTCAAATTTCTGTTTGCCTGTGCTTAAACAAAGAAGGTAAAAACAAGTTGATCAGTGAGAGTTCAAGGTGTTGGTGGGTGTACTCTTGCACACACAATGTTTATGCTAAGCTAGGCTAATCACATCTTCACCCCAGCTCTGTACTTAACACACAGAGATGAGACTGATTTCCATCTCAGTATTTCCCAAAATGTTGAGCTGCATATTCCTTTAATCACTGTGTAAGAAGAGATTCAACCCACAGCGCATTAACAGGAGCTCCCATTGGCCAGCTAAAGAGAGAGCTTGGCAGTGTTTGAGTGGAAAGCAGATGAGGGATCCTAGATCCTAGATCCTGGATGCTCTTTGCTGGTCACATGAATAGTGGTGGGATTCTGGGACAAAGAGCCAACAAATGTATGCCAATAGAAACAGACTCATTAAACACTTTATGCTGCCTCAAATTGCCTCACATCTGGTAAAGACCACAGCTGACTGCCAGCTGACACATACACATGTTCTGCACCTGCTTGACTGCAAATACCCAGTCTGTAGTCTGTGTTCTTAATCCAAAAGACATCACAGGAAGAAACAAAACAAATTTTCAAAATAAAAAAAAAATAAAAAAAATAAATAAATTTCAAATAAACGGTTTTGCTGCTGGAAGAAGAAAAGCGAGAGAGGAGAGGCTATGCTGAACGGATGACATCCCTTGTTCACCTGACCGAACAGCCAGTCAGCTCTCTCACTGACTGCTTCTCAGTCAACATAAGCAGAGAGAGAGCAACCGATGCTGGACACACTGCTGATATCATTGGAGGACATGTTGAGATCCTTTACTCAAGTAAATGTACCAATACATAATTGTAAAAAAAACTTCATTTATGTTCTGTACGAAACGTAATTTACATGAAGTACTTCAGTTGTGTGAACGAGCCGTAATCATAACCAACATAGCCCCAGCAAGCTTTATTTATTTTGGTCTAACCAGATGTTGCATGTTTATTATTGCTAAGTTGAACAGACGTTGCATATTTATAAGAGAGAGAGAGAGAACTATTTTGTTTCCAAGGGGTCTTGGGCACAGAGCTGCATTCCATTGCTTCACATAAAAAACATCAGAAAACCATCCCAAAACTAACATGAAATATCTTAAAACATTAAAGAGACATTTGACTGTACTTTTAACACTGACAATATGGCGGCTTAAAAAGAGACTGTAACAATTAAAGTGCTGGTATATTTTTTGCACTGTTGCACTTGTATTAGTATTAGAGTTCAGTAGCTTGATTGGTTGGGACGAATGATAGCTTCAGTCGCTTTGATTTGCACTTTAGGAAGAAGGGAGCTAACTACCTATTCTTGCAAACTACACTATGGAGCCCTGCATGTCCAGAAATGACACTAGAGGGTCATATTTTGACACAGAGGGACCCAGCAGCCAGTATTTGATGAGTTTGGAGTGAGAAAGTGATACAGTTTGTTAGTTTCAATCCATGTAAAGAATCATATTCTATAAACTCCTCATATGGTCCTCATTCACTACACTTACTCCTGAATCCCAGAGACAGCAGTAACTTTAAATGTGGCTGCTGCAGTGACTAGAGGCCCAGCGCTGTGTTTAGGCAGTCAGCTCCATGTGCTCACTGCTTTTTTTCTTCTTCTTTCCGAAACATGAAGTCATTAATTCTTTGCAGACTGGGGATATGAAGACATGCTTTCATTACTGTCCCCTTGTAAGGGCAATTTAAGATGACCAGACCATGCAGTCACACGCACGCACACACACACACACACACACACACACACACACACACACACGGACACACACACACACACACACACACACACACGGGCACACACACACTCACACACTCACACACACACACACACACACACACACACACATTTTGGTCTTAGTAATACTGCGACTACCATCACCCACTGCATGTGTTCCTTAACTGCTCGCCTGAATACAAACCACTCCATCAGGTTTTTGGTACATTGATGCTTATTTTAACTGTAAAGCCCTTTTAAGCTACGGTTACTATTGTTGCTGTTGTCACTGCTCATTGTCCCCCATCGTTGCTGTTGTCTTGTTCATCATCATCAGTCATTACTATTATTAATGTTATAAAGAGTTCGGTCTAGACCTGCTCTATTTGAAAAGTGTCCTGAGATAACTTCTGTTATGAATTGGCGCTATACAAATAAAATTGAATTGAATTGAATTGAATTGAATTGAATTGAATTGAATTGAATTGAAAGTGTGTGCACACTGAATCAGCACTGGAGTACTGGTAAAATTCTGACTTTTTGTATTCTACTTTCTGCATGAATAGGAAACTGAGAGCCACTGTGGTTGCTGGTAAAAATCTATCTTGAGATCTTAATTTGATTACTTTGTTGACTGAAGATAAACAGTTTTCTCACGATTGTAACCAAAGTGTGTTATCCTCTCAGAAAACAAATAATGTTTTTTATTTAATTTGAACAATATTGAGTCAGCGTCGGTCAGGGCCAAAGACCACGAGTTTGAAAATGAAAAAGAATTCTGGGGGTGTTGAGTTTCATTATGGATGACGAAGGCACCAGGTTTTGTCAAGGAAGAAGAATGTGTGGAATAAAAAAGACCATATATCTGGTTCTGCTGTTTTGATTTTGTCCATTGTGAAGAGTGCAGAACACATGATTCAGTGTTATGTGAAATCAGTGTACTGGTCAGAGATTCCAATCACTGAGAGTTTTTGGAATGTAACCATAGATGTAATCAGAGAGTTTGACATAGTGTGGTGGTCAGCCTTAATGCCAGTTTGTGTTTGTGCTAATCTTGGTACCTCAACAAAGAAATCCTCAGAGGCCCTAAAAGTATAGCTTTCCCCATAGACCTCAGTCGTAAAAGAGACATGACAAGACACCTCCATCTGCAAAAAGAGTTATTACTATATGAATTTGAATTTGTACATCTTGAAATTTTAATACTCCCTAAATTTTTTCAGAACCTAGAAAAGTAATTTTTGTGGGACATCATCTCAGTGTAAAGTCTTACTGGATGATTTTACAGGGTCATGAGGCTGGTGTTATCACAGCAGACAGGAACTATGGTCAAAACTACAAAAACAAGACTCAGACTGTAAAAAATGGAATTTCCCTTGGTCTAAAGTGACCTCACTTTGCAAAAATGTTGTTTCTCTCAGGGTGTTTAACTGTAAGACTGTAAGAACCATCCCATCTGATAAACGCACGATACAGATGTGAAGCTGTTCTTAATTCTGGCTTTCCTCTGATGGGCTGATGGTCACAGAGGGGAAGCTGGCTGCTCGCATCCACGGATCAACGACGGTGCAGGTTTGTTTGGACAGACAAGAGGGGTGACGGTAGACACATATGTATCTCACCCAGCCATGGGTGTGTTTATTTGAAATAGTCTGTCGCTTGAGGAAACACAGGGGTCCTTGTTCAGCAGGCTGTTCCTGAAGGTAATGGAAGGATGCAGACAGCACTCAATAATATTAATCTGACTATTCTCTCACTTCCTGTGGACATTTAACACATTATGATTCATTAATTACACACTCATCAAGGCCTAAAGGCCTAAATCCAAATTTTTTCTTACTACATGTGAAGGCTACATGTGAGTAAACTGCAGATAATTAAAAGTTAGAACCTTTTGAAATATTGTCTTAATTAGCCACCTTATGGTAATACCATTATATATACAGTGGGATAAATCCTTTCTTTGGCGCCACCCAGTGATCATAATAATCACAGTGTAGCAGACAGCTATGCTCCCAAAATTCCTTCCCCTTATAATTCTCCAAACAAAGCATATGTCATCAATATAATTTGAAAGCCACATAAGAAATCCACACATAGTGGTTTAAAGATTAAATCATTACACCTTTTAAAGCAGTGGTTCTAACCTTTTACCTTAAGAGAGCCTTTTTTTCATCATTGACCACCCAATATTAGATATGACAACTGAACTGTACAATGAACCTAAATAGTGAATACAATTACTGCAGGAAGTCTGTGGATGAATTTTGAGCACATTATTTCCTGTGAATACTGATCAGAGACAAGAGTTTGCCCGATCATTTTAGGAATTTGCTATACAATTCTCTTTCTTAATAGGCTTATTTTTTGACAAATTTACTGTTTTCTTTTCATTGTCCTGTTAGCTTTTTGGTTGTTTTAATTTTTCAAATGCAGGAAAAGGCTGTTTATCAGAGAGTGAAGGCTCTGTGAATGTAGCTTGTGTTCAGGTAATTTCAATTCAATTCAATTCAATTCAATTTTATTTGTATAGCAGCAATTAATAACAGAAATTATCTCAGGACACTTTTCAAATAGAGCAGGTCTAGACTGAACTCCTTATA